TATATATATATATATATATATATATATATATATATATATACATATCGGACCGGGCCGGTGATCACCGTCTCCGCCGCCGAATTTGTCCCTGATCCCCACCCCGTCGTGATAAGATGTTCCCGAACCCGACCCGAAATTTTTGGTTTTCACCATCAGTTTCGGTTGTTTTGCCATCCCTAAAAATATTAAAAAATACAATAAATTATCAAACAAAAAACTGAAAAAAGTTTGAAATCAAACAAAAAACTTGTTTATAATTTTTTTGATTATGAAAGATGCTCACGCTAATCTTATAGTGATGCTAGGATATTACAACACGATAAACACATAGGCGGACCTACATAGGTGCCATGGGTGGCACATGCCACCGTATCGTTTCTCCAGCGAAGGGTAAAAAATTTAGGTTTCGTGAACGGTACAACCGTATTAATATGTTGTGTGCCACCGTATGTATTTTAAAAATACAATGAGAACAAGTTTTATTTGGTAGAGTTGGTTTTCAAGACTTTTATTCTACCCCATACCCCAAATCCGAATCATGTTAGTGTCATTTTATTAGTCAAACGGTGCCATCGTTTAAAAAAAAATTCCGTATATTTGTTTCTTATAGTCAAACGGTGTTACCGTTTGAAAAAAAAATTCTTATATTCTTTTTCTTATGATCAAATGGTGCCACCGTTTAAAAAAAAGTTCTAGGTTCGTCCCTGGATAAACATCAATCAAAAAACTGAAAAAACCAATTGAAATCAAACAAATAATTATATTTTATATTCTATATTCATTTTTAATTATAAACGTGTTAAAGTATCCATAACCCCAAGATACAGAAAATGTGAAAGAAATCATAAATATATAATTGAAAATTGATAAAAAGATATAAATAAATAATTAAAAAAATAAATTTATAAGAATTGTTTCAAGAAACTCATTGGATCGTGATCTTAAAATGTTTAAAGCATAGAACAATAAGGCATCATCCTTTAATCAAAGTCTAATGGACGCCCAATCAGCAATTATCATCAATCATGTATCAAATCGATCCAACTGCATTTCAAATACCGAATTTCTTTGTTGAAATTATAAACCCTAAAAAAATCTGAAATCCGAAATCATAAACAAGTAGATCAAGAAGGCTCAGATTCGCCTTTGTTCAGACAAAATCGACGGCGGCG